AGCAGGAGGCAGAGCTGAAGCCCAAGGTGAGGGGCTTTCACCCAGCCCCTAGAGCCTGGCACTTTGAACTTGGACTTAAAGCCTCCAAACTGTAAGAGAAAAAATTCCTGTTTGTTCAAGCATCCCATTTGTGGTATTCTTGTCAGAGTGGCACTTGGTAACCAGAACAGCATTCTTCCTTCTTTTAATTTGAGGAAAACTAAAAATATTATAAATAGACTGGAATTATAAAACAAATTCCTTGTCTTTCCCCTCCCGCCTAAGGAAATCCCACAATCTCACAATCCATCATATTCTATTTATATATCTTGAGATAACATTCTTCTTTCTGGGCTAAGGATGAATAGCTTATCCTCTACATCTAAGACCTCTTTTCATCTGAGGCCTCACAGGGGCATCACTGCTCCTCACAGCCTTGGAATTTAGCAAGATAAACACTGTAGGAAGCCTTCTCCTTGTTTTATAGATTGAAAGATTGAAACCTAGGGAAGGACATATGTACTCAAGGTCACATTCTGAGTAGTCAGCAGTTCTGCTTTGTGAATGCAGCCCTTCTGATTCAATCTTTAGTGCCTAGTAAACAATGGGTGATCTGTGGTTAACTTTTCCATTGAAGCATTTAGAGGGGGATATGAGTGTGGGAAGATAATATTAGAAGTAATGACCCATATGTTATCCTGAAAGGTGCCTTCCGTCTCTCACCATGCCTCTCCCTCCAGGACAAATGGCCAAAACCCCAGCTATCCATTGTTCTGAGGGGAGGATTCTCAGAGGTGAACTTGCCAAACAAAGGTGTCAAATTCTTAGCTCTAGAGTTTCTAAAGCAGAGGTCCAGATGTGAGACAGAAAAGATTTGAAAGAATACATAATTCAGTTCGCTTCCCTCTGGGGGACGAGGATTTGTCTGGAAAGGAATACACAGAAGGAATTCTGGGTGCTGGCCATTTCTTAAGCCTCAACAGGAGCCATGGTGGTACAATGGTTAAGCACTCGGCTGCTAACTGAAATGTTGGTGGTTTGAGCCCACTCCAGCCACTCCGCTGGAGAAAGACCTGCTTTTGTAAAGATCACAGCCTAAGACACACTATGGGGCAGTCCTACTCTGTCACATTGGGTCGCTATAAGTCAAAATCAACTTACTAGAATCTAACAAGTCATTTCTGGGAGTCTCTGGGTGGTGTGTGGTAATTATGTTTGTGTGTCAACTTGGCTGGGCCTGGCTGAGGCTGGGCAGCTGGTGGTAGTTAATCCCCATGAGGAGATTGGCTATCAACTCCATGGTGGGATCTACCATAAGCAGCTGGGTAGCTGCCTTTGGGTATGTGGTCTGCTTCCTGTTTATAAGGAGAAGCCTTTGGGAATGGTCTCTAGCATATGGCATGCTTGGACCCTGCATGTAGCCATGTTCTTGTTCAGCAGCCTGCTATGTTCTGCTGACCTTGGGACTTACAATGGACTTAACTTAATGGCCTGCCATGTGGTTTGGTAACATCAGGACTGTGTCTTTTTAATTATCAACCTTGGGGCTTCTCAGCCTCAGCAGCCAGCAGCTGTCTGAGTGAAGAAACACCTCTAGCTCCAGTGGGCTGGGAGCAGGAGGCA